CTGGCTGCCTGCCTGATCACCCCTAACCACTTGCCTGCCTGTCCAATTGCCCCTAACCGCCTCTGCCTGCCTGCCTCATTGCCCCTAACTGCTCGCCTGCCTGCCTGATCGCCCCTAACCACTCTGCCTCAGCCCCCGCCTCTGCGGCTTTGTCCGGAAGGATGTCTGGGAGGACATCCGGAAGGTTGTTCAGCTGTCCGGTCTAATTAGCATATGATGCTTTTATTATTATAGATAGTTATAATTAGTGTACTTATTACATATGAACAAATATAATGCATACCTGGGTGTGAGTATGGCAAAATTGTGGTTATTCGTGGTCATGGGTACAGAATGTAAAGTTACTAATGTATAAATTAAATGCAGAGAGAATTAGAAGGATTTTTAAAAAAAATCTTTACCCAAGAATATGTTTTTATTTATTTTTAGAGAGAGGAAGGGAGAGCACACCTGAGAGAGAAAGAAACATCGATGTGAGAGAAAAACATACATCCATTACCTTCTATACATGCCCTGACCAGTGATCAAACCCACAAACTGGACATGTGCCTTGACTGGGAATTGAACCCACAACCTTTTTGGTGTACAGGACAACACTCCAACCAGCTGAGTCACCTGGCCAAGGCTAGAAGGTTTATTAAATCAGTACTTCCAAATTAATCCACTTGCAAAACTTTAACCACAGATATGAGCTGACTTTAATGTTACTGACTTTGCCTTCTCACCTCACTGTCTTGAAGAGTTAGGTGAAATATCTTAATTTATATATTAAACAGTATATAATAGTATATGCTACTTTGTATATCAATTAATATGTAAAAATGGACAAATATAAACTCATTAATTCTTGGGACTTGTCATTCATTCATTTAGCTACTCAGTCAAAAAAATTTATTAGGCACTTACTATATACAAAGTACAGTGCTTAGCATCATAGAGATATAAGAATACAGACCCTGTCCCTGAGGCACTTACATTTTGTTATAGAGATAGCACATGCATACAAGTAGCTGTAGCCTATGGTAAAAACAAACCCATAAAATATTAGAAGTGAAACTGATATAACTGCTTTGGGAAATCAGAGGAAGTAGAGAAATCTAGCATGGGGTTCAGGGAAATTCATGAGGGATGTGACATTTGAGTGGAGTCCTGGGAGTTGGGCAGGGTTTGGACATGAAGAGAAGGTGGCAACAGCACTCACGAGCAGGTCACAGTGTGAGTGTGTAAGGGGCCAGAAGAGGTCAAGGCAAGAATGAAGAACAGTTAGAATGAATCACTGAGCGTCAGGAGAGGAATTCAGGGAGATAAAGCTGGAAAAAAATGTTAGGGACAATCGTATTATCTTTATTGACAGATTACAAAATTTAGTGTATAATAAGAAGGTAATAGGGAACTATTGAAATCTTTTTTAAAAAGAACTTTTTAGTTTGAGATGAATTTTGATTTACAGAAGAGTTTCAAAGATAATACAAAGAGTTCTCAGGATATTTCAATATCATTTAAGTTTTCATGTTTAAAAATATAATTGTTTATGTAGTATTCCTATATTATGTTCCTATAATTGCATCCCTTTTCTCATGCTTAGTGTAGTATATGTGTTGGTTTTTTTCTTACTCAGAAATGCCAAAGATTTGTCTTCCTTATTTATCTTTTCAAATACATAGTTTTTGGTTTTGTTGACCTGGTTTGTCAGTTTTTGCCCTACTTCATTAACTCTACCAAAGCTACCCTCATGTATAGTCAGTCTATGTTAAAACAAACACATGGTTATATTAATGTACAAATGCTATATCAAATAAAGTCCCCTGATCCATCTTTTAAGCAGAATGCTCAGTCTTACACAGTCACAGAGCTAAGTGATTCTTTTGTCCTGGTTCTGCTTGGAATATGATTGACCATTTCAAAATAAAAATCTGTGCTTTTCTTTAACTCAAAGAAAATTGCTTCCATTATTTATTTCTACCTAGCTATTTCCTTTATCTCTTTCTAGAACTAATATTAAATTAACTAGAGGCCTGATGCACGAAATTCATGCAAAGGGCTCAGCCCTCGCAGCCATGGCTGCTTCAGCTGGTCTTTGGAGCCCCGCAGCCTTGGCCGACCCTCACAGCCCTGGCTTCGTCTGGATGGTTGTCAAGACTGTCCGTCATTCTGCTGTTTGGTCTAATTAGCATATTAGCTATTTATTATTTAGGATGTTTACCTCCAGATTTATCCCCATGTCTCCTGTATTATCTTTTTTAATCTCTTGTTTTGTTCTAGAAGACTTACTTTACTGTTTATTTTATTTTTTTTACTTTGTTATCTTTTACTAATTTGACTATGATCTATGTCCGCTCATCTACTTACTCCTCTTTTATTTATTTATTCTTCTAATTTGGCAGTCATATTTAAATTTCCTGTTCCCTACTTACTCCTTTTATCATAGACTAGAGGCCCGGTGCACAAAATTCATACATGGGTAAGGTCCCTAGGCCTGGCTGGTGATCAGGGCCAATCAGAGCCTTCTGGCTGCCGACCAGGGCCTTCTTTCCTTCATTCTGTGCCGCGCCTTGGTGGTCAGTGCATGTCACAGCAAGTGGTCGAACTCGCAAAGGGACAATTTGCATATTAGCCTTTTATTGTATAGAATATTTTGGGGATAAATATCTTCTCACAATTTTTTGAGGATACTCATTGTGATACTCTCTTGTGTCCTTTGCTACTTGAATTATTTCTGTTCTTTTGTTTGCTTGCCTTGAACTTTTCTCTTATTCTTTTAGCTTTCCTCAAATGTTTGGTGATCTTTAGTCCACTGACCTTCATGGACAAAGAAATAGATTTGTTTAGGTGGCTCTCAAAAGCCCACTCGGTGGTGAGTAGGTCTGTTTCCCGAGGAGGTCTCCCCTGAAACAGGAAGTCTGATGGAGACTATTACTTTACAGTGGGCAGGCTTCACCTTAGAACATTTGAAGATGGTACTACAGAGCCACATAAGTTAGAGAACCCCTTCTGCAGTGGCTGCCTTTCTTTGCCCTTCCCTGCCCATCATTCTTGTCTAAGTGTTTGGGGTTACAACAAGCTCTGTTCTGAGGCTTCTAGACCCACTTTCACATCATTCTCATCAAGCAATTCACTTTCATTGGCCAGAGGTCAAAATCCACTGGTGACTATTGCTCAAGGTAGAAGGCAAGACCTCACTGACTGGCTGGGTCAGCAGTTTTTAAATTAGCCTTAAATTACCTCTTACTACTGCCAGAATACTCTCTGAAACACATGTGAGTATATCATTCTCCTGCTCAGAATCCTTGAGTGGTGCTGATTTTATATAGAATAAAACCTGTTGTCCTTTACAAAGCATGAAGATCCCTTATGGTTTGATATGGGTACCTGACCATCATCTCCCACCACTTCCCTGCCACAGACAAAGGAAAACTCCCAAAATTCTGATAGTGTGTGTGGTTTTTGTCACTCCATGCCTTTGCATTCACCATTCTCTATGCTGAGGATGTCAACTCTCCTTTACCTACTGACAAAGACACCCTCAACTGCAGATCTTGGCTTGTGATTGCATTCCTCATGAACCCTTCTTTGGCTTCCCCTAGGTGTCAGATTTGTGGGTCTATTTATGTAAACTATATTCTCTCTTCACTCCACAAAATATGTAAAATAGCATAAAACAGATACATGCTAATAGGATAAAATAAGTAAGTGAGACATACTAAGTTCAAAGGAACACTAGAGGTGGGAATATAAATAATATTAAGTATTACATGACATTAAGTTCTGTAGACTTACACTACAAAGAGATACACTGAAAAGTTGACTCTGGGCTTCCTGCTTGTCAAAGGTAAGAGGGAAACTTAAATGTTTATGAGTTTCACATTTTCCACAAACTATAATAAGGCATTTTGCCAGTTATTGCAAATTGAGAGATAGTTTACTGTACTAAAAAGGCACTTACAAAGGTGACTGGTAAACTGAGAAGTTCCTTCCTTTATGCTTTTATTGACCCTCAAATACAATCCTATGTAGTTACTATAATATTTTTGTACATTGATTCCCTCAAGGTGTGAACCATATCCTCATTACTTGGCCCGATGCTGGATACTTCCTAGTCACTCAGTGAGTATTTGTTACACACACTTGATAACCAGATGTTGATTAGGCCAATGTTTTTGTGTGAGTAGGTGTACAACTAGAAATGAATCATCATTTACACCTGTCATAAACATCATAAAGATTTAACCACCTGAAGTCTTTATAATAATTATCAAAACAATTGGAATACTGAATAAACACATTGCATGTATATCTCATGACTCCTGATCAATCCTGTGGATATTGTTCCTCATCTCAAAATTGAGGAGATCAAGGAGTTAAATCAATTTCCCAAGAGTTAACAGTTATTTAGAGGCAGAATTTGAACTTAGCACAAGTGCCTGAGCCCAGCCCTGTAAATCTTAATCTTTGCTGTTGGTTCATGCTTTGGCATGTAGTAGATTGATTAGTACTTGATTACAAAATTCAGGAAAGTGGACACTATCTACTGGTGGAAGGGTCATGATGGAAGGACTTTACCAAAGTTCCTTTGTTCTTTAAGTTATATTCCAAAATATTTTCTGGGAAAAAGGCAGCAACTATCAGGCAAATAAAATGCTGTAAAATTCACTTTCCATAAAGAATTATTAGGGGATACCCTAATGTAAAATATTTCCAGTTTAAAAAATGGAAATATCTGACCAATTTTCATATATACATATATACATATATATATCCTATATAATAAAGAGCTAATATGCTAATTAGATGAACAGCAGAACAACCTTCTGGACGAAGCCAAGGCTGCGAGGGCCGAGCCCCTTGCACAAATTTCATGCATCGGTCCTCTAGTACATATATATAATGGAATATGACACAGCTTTTTTTCATTGCAACCAAGAAAACTTACAATGTTGCCATTTTATTAAAGGGCTTACTCTATTTTAACTTTCACTGACCAACGTATGGTTGCTTCTTACCTGAAAGTTGCCGAAGCAGCTTCCCCCTGGAAGGGTCACATAACTCACAAAGGGAGGCCCAGGAGATGGCAGTGACTCATACACCACCACACCTTCACTGGGGAACGTGGCCCTCTGCTGCTGCTTGCTTTCCCAGAATTCCTGCAACATCGACACAACATTCACTGAAAAAGACAAGAAAAATATCAGTTATTCAAAATGGACATACTCTGGCAAAACAAAGTTTTATTTGTGAGGTGCTTTTAGTTGTGAAAGAAACAAATATTACTTAACACAAATGTGTTTATTTTTTCATGAGTATGGGTCAAATGGCTTGGTGCTCTAATTCTAACCACATTGCAGTATTTTAAATTGACTTTACAATTTAATATCAAATTTAAAAATCTCACTCTTTCTTCTTTGAAAATTTGCCTTAATAAACTTTGTCCAGACCTATAATTACCCAGGGCCTCTGCTCCCATTTCTCATAGATTCTTAAACCTGCAAAGTGCAAGCCAAATTTGAAGGTAAAGATGTAAGCAATGTAATTTTAACTGGGGCTCACCTATTATAAGGTTTAAGAGGAAAAAAGGCAGAAAGAAGAAAAGTCTTTCATGCTTCTCCCCACCCAATCTTAAGAATGAAAGGCAATTGTGTAATAAGCAGGAGGCTGGAAAAAGCCATAAGTGAAACTAATAACATGGAGACCTTGTTAAGGACCACGTCTGTTAGATGACTTCAGAAAACATGGTAATGGCTGGAGCCATGTGTTTTAGATTAAATGACCTGTGATAGCCTGCAGAATTTCCAGATCAAATTAGGTTGGTTTGTTTATCCTGTACTGCAAATTGAATTGTGGAAATTAACAAGGATAATAGAATTGTAGAACTTACGGGTCATGCAGGCAAAGCTCTGCCTAATGCAGGAATTCCCTGCTCAACGCTACTGACAGATGCCTGTGCCTGAACACGTGGAGAGGCCTGGTACTTGGCACACCTTTAGGCAGCCTATTTCAAGTGCTAATGGTTCTGACTGTGAAAAGGTCCTTTTGGGACTGAGCTGAAATCTGCTTTTCTGTAAAGTTCATTTCTGGGGCCCCCTAGAAGCTTATCCCCTTATCCACATGAGAGCCTACCACATAACTTGAAGGCAGTGAAGGGCGTCTGTTGTTTTTACCTGCCTGCCTTTGGATTCATTCCTCTCTTTGTGGAAATAGCACAAAGGTTTTTCTTAAACAACTACTTTTCCTTCAACCATGTCTTCTCCAGGGCTGAGGGTGGGAATTTGACCAAAGCCACGTCACCCACCACCGGTGGTAAGTCCAGGAATTTTGTTGGAAATGATTAGAAGACTAAATTCTTCTTTTTTCACTAGGGTTGCTAGGGTGATAGGAGCTAAGTGTGCTGCTGCCCAAGCAAAGGGGAATCAAGTTGACAAGAAAACCAACGGAGAAGGGCAGAACCAATAGATGGAGAAAGACTAAGTCCTGACAGCAGACTTTGAGCTCCTGCACCAACACATCCGCTTTTTTCTTAAACCGTTTTGAACTGGTGTCTCTCACTTGCATGTGAAAATATACTAATACAAACCACTTTTGATTTCCTTAAGTTCTAGATGAAATAATTTTTTGTTCTGCCCTGGCCAGCTTGCTCAGTGGTTAGATCATTGGCCTGAGAAGGGCTGAGGGTTCGATTCCCAGCAAGGGCACCTAAGACTATTGTAGGTTCCCCAGCCCCGGTAGGAATGCATGTGGGAGGCAACCAATCAATGTGTCTCTCTTCTCTCTCTCTTTCTCTCTCTCTCCCTCTCCTTCTCTTTCTCCTTCTCCCCCTCCTCCCTTCCTTTCACTCTCTCTAGAAATCATTGGAAAAAAATATCCTTGGGTGAGAATTTAAAAAATAATTAATAATACTTTTGTTCTTTAAAGCATTTTTTGTGTAGCATAGGGTCTATATGCCCTTTGACATTCTCTGGAATTTCCTGGATGTACTTCAAAATGCTGGGTGTTGATATTTTTGAGGGAGTCAGGAGAGTCACACTGACCTGGAGGCAAAAACATTGCACAATCCCCTTTTAAACTGTTTCTAGAGCACCTGACTCCTTTACCTCACCCTAGGTCACAGATCAGTTTAACAGTATGCAGTTCAGGCAAATTATCGAGACATCTAAGGAATTGAAATCCTGTGTATATTTAAATACTGCAGTGTTTAGTTTTCTTTCTTTTCCTCTCCCCCCGCCCCCCCGCCCCGCTTTATTGAGCTATATTGTGCAGTGTTTAGCTTTTAAGAAGTGGTTTGTAAAGAAACTGGGAAAATGGAAGACTACTAGAGGGGATAATTGAATTAAAATATAAAATACAAGTTGAAGTGGTCAAATTGAGATTGGTCACCTAGAGCTTTTCCATTCACTCAAAAATATTTGAAATGATATTTTCTACCAGTAAATGTAATTCAAAATAGATTTAGAACATTTATTTTATAAATTATATTTCTTCTGCTCACCTCCCTCCTTCCCTCCTATTCCCCCCAAAACAAGGATTTTGAACTGGTTGATTTGTGTTTCTACTTGCATTTGACCTCCAGAATTCAGCAGAGATGTCTTGAAGATTGAAGCCTAAAACCAAAGCCCGTGCCCTGTTGCTCTGATAGTCAACAAAGCATATTAACCGCTATTTTACGTAAGTTCATTGTTGAATGATGTTCAGCTGAGAACTAGAGTAGGAAGTTGAAGACTCATGATTATTTAGGTGAAATGAACACAAGAATTTTGGCACATAAAGCTATGTGAATTAAAGAGTTTGAAGGTAGGTACTCAGTAAAATTTCTACATGAATAAAAGTAGCAGATTTCACATTTTTCATTCTGCAACCTTGGAAGATTTCTTTGATGGTTTTATGTATGTCATCACCTCTAAAGAGTGCAACATATGTCCATGCACACACACAATCCATCTTCCTATTTCTATCTCCTCTGGATGACTGCAAAACCAGATGAATGGAGTGCAGAGGGAAGAAGACCAGCTTGCTATTTGGAATTCCAAAGATCCAAATATCAGAGGATACTCTATTTATGAAAAACATGCTCTTCTATTTTTTGAAGTATCAACAACAAGGTTCATGGACAATATCAAAGGAAATATGAGCAGAGGGTCAAGAAGTGCTAAAGAAAACCACCCAAGTTTGAGAATAGGCCCCACATAGTTTAGAGAACTGCAGTTGCACCTTCAATGCTCCGCAGTGAACCTGCCTTCATGTTACAGAACAAACTTGGGCTATCAAGCATGTGATATCTGGAGTGGCTCATCTACACAGGTGCCCACTCCCACCTTAATCCTCAAGTCTTAAATGAATTTGAGCTGCTTCTGGGCATTGTTATAGTAGTCATTGTCTTGACCTATTTTTTAGATGTTTTTTCTTTATGCACTCCTTCTCAGCTGCCATAAGTATGCTTAAGATGATGAATGAATGAATGAATGAATCAATCAATCAATCAAATGAAACACTCAATATTGAGGCTATTTTTGGCTACTAATTATTAAAATGTTCCCATTATGGTCAAACTTCTAGAAAAAAATATCTTATGTTATAACCTATGTTTTCTTATTTTCCATTCATTTTTAACCTACTACCATCTGGCTTTCCTTTATTTTATCCCACTGAAACTACTCTGGCAAATATCACCAATTCCTAATTTTCAGTCCTATTTACTTGACTTCTAACTGCATTTGACACAACTGATCAATTTCTTCTAGACAATCTCCTATCCCCAGGCTTTTCTAATAGCAGTCCTCTTGATCTGCTTCTCTATATCTAATCATTTCTTCTGTCTCTCTAGTGGGTTTCTCTCCTTCTGCCCACCCCTAATGTTGATTTGCATGACAATCCTGTCCTTGTTTTGTTTTTGTTTTTTCACTTCTCTCTGCTGTTCTCCTCCAATGACAGAACCTACCTCCCTAACTTTACCTACCATAATATGCACTGACAGCTCCCAAACATTCTCTTGTAACTCCAGCTTTGTTAATAAATACTTCCATTTGTATGTTGCCCAGATTTAACATATTCCCAAACTCAGCTATTTTCTTTTCCATCAACTCTTCTCTTTCTCCCGAATTACTTAGAGTGTGATGTCACCTAAATCAGAAACCTGGCAGAAACCTTCATTTCCTCTCTCTCTAGCTAAATAAATGCCCAAGATTTGTCAATTCCATATCCTGACATCTTCCATAGTCCCCACTTCTTCTCAGTTTACCCTGCCTTTGCTGCAGTGGCTCATAGCTCACCAAGTATATCACAATACCCTTCTGATTCCAATCACCCTCCCATCCAACCCATCCTCTAATTGTTTCCAGGAAAATCTTTCTGGATCTCATAGCTGATCAAATCACTCACAGATTCTTAAATCCTTCCGTGAGTCCCTCATTACCTACAGGATAAATAACTCCTTGGCAAGGCATGGGAAACCCTATGTCTTGATATTCTTTCTCATTCCAAACTTCTCTCTTCAAATGACCTTCCAGGCTTCCACAGTCCCATGCTTCTTATGTTGGAAAGACCCGTATTTCCATTCTCTCCTTGGCGTGCCCTCTTTCCACTGTCTGTTGTCTTCTTTAATGGTACTTACTCTTTTTTTTTTTTAAGATTTGCCCCCAGTATCAACTCCTAAGAAATAAAACCAAAACAAACAAAAAAAATCTCTAACTCCTTGCTACAAACTGCGGTCCTCTGAGAAACAGCATGGATATCATTTGGGAACTTGTTAGAAAGACAGGATCTCTGGTCACACCCAGGCCCACTGTACCAGAATCTGCTTTCTTAACAAGGTTGCCAGGCAACCTGCTGCACGTTGAAGTTTGAGAAGTCCTGCTGTAGGAAGAAGTTATTCTCATCTACCTTACCATGTACCCATTATATGCCAGGCACTATGCATTTTCTCATTTAATCCTTACAATGTTCCCCGAAAATAGGTTTTTATCATCCACAACTTACAGATAAGAAGTTCAAGATGCTCAGGGTACAGTCACACAGCTACTGAATTTTAGACCTGGGATTTTAAACCTAGTTCTTGCCTGAGTGTATAATACATGCTCTTCATTTATCCTGAGACACTCCCTAATTATGATGGAATTTAAGTTGTTTTCATGTATAAAGACATAGTTCTTTTCACAGGAAGAATTATATCATTTTCCT